GTGTGTGTGTGTGTGTGTGTGTGTGTGTGTGTGTGTGTGTGTGTGTGTGTGTGTGTGTGTGTGTGTGTGTGTGTGTGTGTGTGTGTGTGTGTGTGTGTGTGTGTGTGTGTGTGTGTGTGTGTGTGTGTGTGTGTGTGTGTGTGTGTGTGTGTGTGTGTGTGTGTGTGTGTGTGTGTGTGTGTGTGTGTGTGTGTGTGTGTGTGTGTGTGTGTGTGTGTGTGTGTGTGTGTGTGTGTGTGTGTGTGTGTGTGTGTGTGTGTGTGTGTGTGTGTGTGTGTGTGTGTGTGTGTGTGTGTGTGTGTGTGTGTGTGTGTGTGTGTGTGTGTGTGTGATCAAGGGAGTGAGTGAGGGGAGTGGGTGTGTGAGTGAGTGAATAGGTATTAGGTATGTGAATGAGTGAGAATGTGGGTGAGTGAGTGAGGGGGAAAGTGGGTGTGTGAGTGAGTGATAATAAGTGAGTGAACGTGTGAGTGAGTGAGTGTGTGTGTGTAAGTGAGCGAGAATGAATGAGTGATTGAATGAGCATGTGAGTGGGTGTGTAAGTGAGAGGGGAGCGAGAGTGTGTGAGGGAGTGAGAATGAGTGGGTGAGTGAATGAGTGATGGGTGTGTGAGTGAGTGATGGGAGTGTAAATATGTGTGTGAGTGAGTGAGTGATGGGTGTGTGAGTGAGTGAGTGGGTGTGTGAATGAGCATGTGGGTGAGTGAGCTGGTGAGCGAGTGAGTGAGTCAGCCAGTCAGTGAACGAACGTCGATTGTGTTAATGCAGCAAATCCAGCAGGGAAGCTAATGCAGTAAACGCAATTTCATGAACGACATGATAGTAGTGCTTATGAATCTTCTACATCCACGTGATACACAGGTACGACAGAAGAGCACCTAGCGCAGAGGTAATATAAAATATTTGCATGCATTTGCGATTCCTCTTTAATCCTCACCGATAATTCTCATTACTACCTAATCCCTTCGCAGGGCTGAAAGTATTATTGCACTAGTACGACAAGCAGAAAAATGTCAGCGTTAATCCCCATGGTGCACATTGTTCAAGCAGCAAGAAACCGGGGAGCAACTGATTAAGCAAAATTGAGCCTAATATAACAGGTAACATTAAGCCTGTTAAAACAACACATCCGGCTGAAGGCTAAGTGCATTCACTGTCAAAGCACAGAATAAGTAAATAAATAAATAAATAAATAAATAAATAAATAAAAGTTGTGACAATGGCAGCATGATACGCAAGACTGTACTCAAGCAACGGTAACAGCTTTCTGATTTTTTTTTCTGTATGTAAACCGAAACAAAGAAATATTTATACCTCTTTGTTGTTTCCGTTCTTCTACGCGTGGGGTCCTCTGTAGTAAAATAATAGAATAAAAAATCTGGGAGAGCTTGCGTACCATTACTATATGCTCACGTTTTTTTTTTTACCGTGAAGCATAAATAAAATATGGCGTGGCTGAAAGACGCAGCCGAGCCGCTGTATCTATCATCGCCATAAACGCGGGCGCAGATGGTGGAAAAATTTGGCCCCATATACACACGTCGGCGTAAGCGAGAAAACATTTCGAGTTGCAACACGATGTCTTGGTGCTCAAGAATCTGCTACGCGTTCTTGGGCATTGTGGAGCGCATGTGCACAAAAACGGTGCAGAGTGCTGGAAATATTTTCTGAGTTCGTGTGTGCGTATACAAGGTCTTTTTATGACAGTGAAAGCTTACAGAAAGAAACTCTGGCACGCAAAACACAACACATTCGTTCCTTTTGTCTCTAACGTCCAAACTGTACAGAACCCATCAGAATTGCTAAGTCCGAAAGTTCGCAATGTCTACAATCATGGCCGTTTAAAAAATGGTTAGTTTAATTTAATTACACGAATTGTTTTGATGAAATGCGAACAGTTATGTCATAAGCGAACGAACCTTAGCGCTTGTTTTTTGACTGGAGAACGACGGAAACTAATTGCACGATATATTTTTGTCGAACGCGAAACATGAATAACACCAAGTTACTACACTGTCATTGTTTTTGATATCGGAGTAGAAAGTATTCTTATTGACTACTTTTGTGCGCACTCATGGCAAATATTTGCAACCGTTATGATTATTTACAGGATAGCGCTGCTTATGGGATTCTATAGTGGATCATCACCGAAGGCATTTGCTTGCTGTGAAAACAGTTTCATAAACTAAGCGAAAATAGTTTGGTAAACAAGCATAGCGATCGTTGATTTGCCTAACCACATTCATCTTTTAATCATCGATAATGGTTTCACTGTCTATAATTACTTGTTCGTAATGCCTAATATCGCAAGTCGCATTGATGTCATTTCTGCATGGTCACAGTTTGAAAGCGGTATATGTCACCATTGTGGTATGGAGCCGTGAGAGTACCACGATTGGCGATAGGGAAGTGTTTGCTACATGATCAAAAGATCAAACGTGTCAATATCGCATTCGGTGGGCGTACGAGCCCGTGACGCTATAAACAGGGCGTACAACTGAATTGTAATCTAGATGATTTCAAATTCTGCGGGGCTGCTCTATTCTGCGTTGTCAGAGGTTAAAGCCCATAACTGAAGTTTGCAGTGATCCTTCCAATCATATTTTAGAAGAAGACGAACTCGTATGACTGAACTCGAACTGCACAAAGGGTGGGAAGAAAACAAAATTAATATTAATAATCGATAGTGTTTAACGTGCCAAAACGGCTTATGATTATGAAGGACGCCGTAATGAGGGGCTTTGAAAATTTTAACTAATCTGTTGTTTTTAACCCGCGCCTAAATGAGAGTATAGGAGACGCAAGCATTTCTGCCTCAATCGCAAATGCAGCTGCCGCCGGGATTCGATGAAACGGCCCTGGATGTTATTTATTGGCAAGTATTGATGGCTATGGTTAAGTCATATAGAAAGGGTTTTAGTATTTACTTTAATGTTTTTTCTCATCCTCCCATTCACGCTAGCTTCCGCGCCAGTCGCGTTAGCGTACGTGTGTTTCCATAAGCTTGCGACGTGTCTATTTTCACGAGTTCGCGATTGCACTTCACTCGGCTAACTTAACTCGGTGAAAATTGGCAAACTGAAAGCATGCCTCTCAATATGCGTCACGTGCCTATATAGTATCTTCTTCCGTGACTCTCTTGGGAATGAAAAGTTATGCTTGCGTTGGTGGTACGTTTTCGCCTGCCACGGCAACCCCAAGTATGACATGGTTCACGCCATTTATAGTCCTCCTCATAATGGTGGCCTAATGACGATAGTTATAGCGCGAGAACAAAACGACGACACAGAGACAAGAAAGACACGAAATACACTGTGTCTCTGTCTCTGTGTCTCGTTTTGTTCTCGCGTTATGACTATCGTCATGCCACACCAACTAGCCCAAGCTGCCACACTTCTAAGGTGGCCTAATGTCCGTTTTACAGCGAGTTGATATTGTAATCTAGACGCAGCACGAATCGCGGTAGGTTGTTAACGGCTTTCAGCACGGTTAGCAGTTATTTCGGTTCCTTCAGCTTTAATAACGGTTAAGTACACGTACATACTTAAACGGGCCAGGGAATTATCACTTATTTAAAATTTTATAGTGTTTTTCTGTCCCAAACAATACTTGTTATTGGTTCAAATACTTGCTACCCTTAACTTTGAGTGACGCTTGGTTTTTAGGTCCTGCGATGCAGACGAACTGGCGTTGTTTGAAAGTCCCCAGAGAGTTTTCGAAAAGCGAAGTATACTAGTCAAACGGTAACAGCTCCAGTGGAAACGATATCCAACGCTAATGAGTGGTACCCCCACGAATACTAGGCGAGTGATGTCATGAACGCCGGGCTGTCATACATTTCATAGCTTTAGGAGTGTTTTGGGCGGATGTACATCGTAAGAAAAAATGTGGAGAGAGAAAAAAAAAGAGGTCTCCTACATTTATATAGAAAATGTCCAAAGGCAAAACTAAGGCTTTTCTGGTGTTGCTGCGATATTGATGCCATGCTGTTCGTATTACCTTTACTTTTCCTCATCCCACTCTCTTGCAGAGAAAACCAATAGTTCAATACGTGCGTTGGAAGACGCTGGTCGACAAACCTTTCTGCTTTTTCACACTGAGCTCCCACTTTTTCCCTATCCGGAAGCCTCAATGGGGAAGCTTTTTTCTCTCTTTGTTTTTCACGTGGCATATGGATATTGCATCAAAATCAGGGTCCAAAAAACTGTTACTTTGTTTTACATTGCCTCCGTCACTGTGAGAACGGGACCCATGGCCCGTGGACGAAACCTGAAGGCCGTCTACCACCAACGCAAACGTGAAAATGAGTGAAGATGTCACCGTACAATGTAGCCGAAGGCCGACGGTGCATTAATATGCCGCTAGCATAGCGCCAGCATTCGTGGGCACAAAAAAAAAAAAAAAAACCGAAGGAAGAAAGCTCTCGCTCTCTCTGGGCATTTCGTTAAAACCCGTTAGGGAAGCGCCGCAGGACTGAGAGGCGATGGATACGGTATCGCCGAATGACGAATGCCGCCGCATTGGTTGTTTTGACCCAGGCCTCTGCCCCCGTCCGAAAATTCTCATTCACACACAAACAGGAGGGGAGGAGTGGATGGTCGGAAACGCAACAGCTCGTAACGAGCAAAAAGACAACAGACAGCAACTGGCAGACTCAAAAGAAAAAAAAAACAAAAGAAAGGAAGAAAGAAATGAAAACGGCGGCGGCGGCGGGCGCGATCGAAAAGTAAAGATTCAAAGCAACGACAACAACAAACGCGTCTGGCCAACGTGTTGGTCTGGCTCGGTAGAGTGGATGAAGAAGAGGAAGAATGCGAGAGAGCGTCTGACGCGAAGGAAAGCGGAGAGATGAAGGGAGGAGGCGAGAGAAAGGGAATGCGACGTAAGCTCGGCGGGCTCGCGGAAACGAGCTTTCCCGCGCGTCCGACGGGTGGAGCCGCGGAGCTCAGCGCGGCGCGCCGGCGGCCCCGGTGTGCGACCAATGGAGTTCTGAGGTTCGGAGCGTGGAAATTTCCAAAGCCCGCGCATGGATCCCCAGCGCCTGCTAAGAAAGGCGCGCTGTTATGACCGGCGCGCCGCTAAAGAGCCCGGCACGCTGAGGTTGGCGCAAGCGCGGAAGCAAGGGGGGCTCTTTCAACTCCAGAGCGCGCGGAAAACGAAAAAAGAAAAGAACCTCGAAGTCGCGCCACTGACGGGAGGGAGTCGAACCCGTGCGCCGAGGGTCGTTTATTGTGACATCCCCTTCCATTTGCACGTAAACGGGACTGTCACGAGTTTACTTATTTATCACTTTTCTGACACGTCGTCGCTCTTGGAGGGTTCTCAACCACCGCCCGTCTGGCCACACTCGAGAGACTGCTCTGGCGTTAACGAGCCCCAGCATCTTCCTCATCCAAGTCCGGCCGGTAAAAGTCACCGCCACTCCATCACGCCGAGGTGAGAACGCTCTACTGAATCATCTCCAACGCGTTTTTTTTTTCGGCATCTTCATTTCAACGGCATCCCTGTAAACTTGACAGATGACACAGCGTCCCTGAAACTGTCGCTTCTCTGCCGAGCGAGCATTGAATGTTCCGGAATCTTGCTATTCCCATCAACCGGTAATGAACGCTTGTTGCGCCCGGCCGTAGGAAATTTCCGTTCGTTCAGCCAGCTGGCGTTTAAAAGGGGCAAGAAAAGAGGGAGAAAAAAAAAGAGAGATCCTCATTGTATTACGCTGTACATGGATCGCGCTGATATGGAAATTATTCATAATGTCATTTGTGGACTTCCCTGTTCGTGCAGTGTTTCCGACTAGAACACGTCTCGTCTCTCGTTTTCTCGCCTGATCGCTGCACTGTGTTAAAGTGTTGGAATAATTCTGTGCGCTACGATTACACTCTACGACCGGTCCGTGAAATCGAAACCGTCGGGACCGGTTTAGTTCGCTTATTAAACATACGAAAAACAATTAAAAAATAACAGGCCTGTGTTGTCGGCGCTGAATTTGAAAATAAAGCATTCGTACTTGTGTGATTTTTTTATTAAGAATTAGTTGAAAAACTTCGAGCAACTGACTTAAGGAGTGATTTTATCTAAATTTCTTTTCCGTGTCTGCCGTTATCAGTCCCGTTTTTTTTTTTTGCGAAAAAAAAAAAAAGCTGTCGGCTCTACGTACAGGCCCCAATATCTTTTAAAAAATAACCTTATTTAAAAAAATAACCTTATTTTTCGTCCATTATGGAAACATGTATGCCAAATTTTTATCGGCTTTAATGCAGTCATATGACGAAACAGGTTTGTTTTTAAAATCTAAGTGGAGTACAGCTTGGCAGGTTGGGGGGCGGGAACTAGGGCAGTTAATTGCATGATACCGGTACGAGTGTTCGTTAGGATTTTATTTTAACAAAGGAAGACGTATTAGTGCAAAGACAGCTAGAGGAAAGAACACAAAGGAGTTTTATGTTGACTCGTGGAGCACGTAGACGCGAGTTTTTGCAGATTTAGGTTGCGTTTTCTAATGGAAGATAGGGCTCCTCCTATATGTCTCGTAACGGCGTAAGACGTGCTTTGACGCACAAGGATGTCATCTAAGGACCAGTCAAGTTCTCTTTGGTGCCAGGATTTGACTGTGGCATTGCTTATCAGGCGGAAAATACATTTTATTCCCAGCGTTCTGCCGGGCTAAGAGCACGCCAGAAGTGAGCTAGGGTCCGTATCACTACGTAACCCATTAGCAGCTGCAACCTTTGCGACACGCCCAATATAGTACAAAAATAAGTGAACAAATAAAGAAGACTTTGGAAACAGTTGCGGTCGCGATAGGTTTACCGACGCAATGAAAGCAGCATATAAACTTTTTCACGAATACAGTTTGTGGCATTTTGTAAGAGAAACAGAGTAGGGATAAAGAAATGTTAAAGCAATGAGAGCTATTTTTAGAAAGCACGTTTCCATAGAGCAGCAAGATGTGTCGCTCAAAACGCACAAGGCGCCTGAGTTTAGTCACGGGTGAATATAAATAGTTCGTTTCTTTTTCTTAGGCAGTTCGCGCGTCATTACATGATAAACATGCCTGGCATGCAGGTGCGTTCAATATATTCAAAGCAGCTTAGCTTTGGCCGAGGCTGAGTAAAGATCTTCTGCCTTAAAGGTCACTCATTGAAATCGTGAGACTGTGGGGGAGTTTCGTACGTTAACGTGCGTAAGACGGCTCTTAGCTTAAAGGTCTCGCGTGGCGACTCCGAGATATCGGGTAATTCGTTATACGTTAACGCGTGCGAACTTTCGTTCGAGATGACATTCGCGTGAAAGTTCTGGCCGACACCATGCCGACATTTATCTGTACTACTTCGTTTACGCTTACTTACGTCATAATGAGCGTTCGCCCCCTATGACGCGGAGAGACGTTCGCGTCGCGCCGTGGTATGTTTCTCTATGGTGGTAGAGCGTTCGGCGTCCTCCGGCAGTTAGTCGTTTTTCGTCGGCGTTCATTTCCTTTCAGCTCAATAATTATTACATTTCTCGATTATACTTACAAATAACGTGCCATGTGCTTTTCGTGGCTTCATTACTTTTGCCGTCTTTTTTATCCTCACAGTTGGGCCTTAGCAAAGGGGTGGGGGAGGGGCTTCATGATCGATTTCTCCTCCAATCCTCCGTCCTGTGTGAGGTGTTTTGCATTACGTAAATGACTACTTTCAATACGTTGCAGTAATGTCAACTTCTACCAGGTCGTCAGAGATGTTACTGTTGGGCAGTCTACGAAGTCAACGTAGTACTGTGCGATATGGAGCGTGGTGGTATAATAACATATAACAATAATATCTGGCGTTTTACGTTCCATAAGCAGGACATGAATATGATGGACGCCGTACTGGAGGGCTTGCGGAGATTTTTACCATCAAATTTTTTTTTGTTTTTTTTTTTTTGACGCGCAGTGACATCGCTCAGTGCGCCATCTGGCGATGAGGGAGACATTCTTTGCACCAGATACGATTGATATGACGCGTAATGGCAACGCCATAGTGAAACATAAAGCGCCATTGTTACAAGGAAGCCAAATGTGCTAGGAAAATCCACCTCAAACAAAAAGAGTGGGACAGGGGCAGGTGAATGGGCAACAAAATAAATAGCTACAGTGATAACGTCGTCTTGATAAAGACGTGAGCTTTCTTCACTTTCTCTAAGTTCAAGCTTTCGTAACTGCACTCGAGGGTAAATTAAAGTACGAAACAATAGCCTGCCACATCCGGGATAAAAGATAGCAGCGCACCTATAAAGGCTTACTATGTAGAGTATTTCACCCGAAGTGATATGAGCAGAAGAGCGATAATATCAAACGGGTAGCAGGCGAGAGATAAGCGCCGCGAGTGATTCCGAAATAATACAAAAAAGGTTAAACGGGGGGGGGGGGGGGTTGTATGGCTTAGTCGCTGACGATAATTTAATTTCAATGGTCACAAAAGCAATTTTTGGAACAAAACAAGCTTGAAGCCACATATGTTCGGCTACTTATATCGAAGTGATAGATTAGTTTTGTGAAGCTGATTCCTAACATATTTCTATGCTAAGGACGTTGTTTTGAAACCAATCAATCAGTCATTGAATCAATCATTTATTGGAAGGGACCACGAACAACAGTGTTATTACTAAAGGTTGCTAATAATGAACAGTACAATGAAGGCAGCACATCATTGACGATAATATTAATCATGATTTTAATATTGCATTGTCTTATACGCCAATACACATTAACTATAGGTCAACGCCATGGAGCTCAGAGAAAACGCTGCCCAACAAAATTAACCAAAGCAAGCAAAAATATTTAAATATTGTGCTGTCAGCATTGAACTTCGTCTGGCCCTCCTTTCATCTGCCGCGCTTGCTTAGCGGTGATAGGGCCGTTGCGTTGTTGAAGGCGAGGTCGAAGGTTCGAATCCTGGGCCATGGGAGCTGTGTTCCGTTTGTTGACGAATTTTCAACCAGGCCCTTCTATTGTTAGGTTTACGTGCATGTCAGATAACATCAGACGGTTCCATTTTATCCGGAGCATACCACTATATGGGTTGCCTCATAACCATATCCTAGAATATTTTGGTTTTTTTTTGTGTACATTTTTGTCAGCTGAGCTCAGGGTTGCCACTGAATAGATTCAAAAAGAAAAGGAAAACAGATCTCCACTTGAATATAGCGAAAGTAGCCAAGTCTTTTATTAATCTTATCGCATATTTGCAGTATAATGTAAAAAAAAAGTGGTGTTATAAAAATATTTTTATAATTGAACAATGAATAACACCATTTTAAATTAGCAGTGACAGAAATCAGAGCACAGTTCATTTAGAAGTAAAATAGAAGTTGAAACCAGCCGGAGTGTTGTCATGGTGCCAACGTGAAATTTTCGTCGTGAGACCGAGTCGTAATGTAGCCAATTCGGCGCACTGTAGCCACTAACGACAACCCTGGCTGGGTACATGTTTGGTGGTGGGTGCCACGTAGTCGTCAATAGCCTTAACAATCTTTTTTATTTGTTGCTTTTTTGCGCGTTGCAGTAGCGGGGGCACTGTTTTCGACTGCACCGAGCAAGAGGTTGAGATCGCTTCCCTGGAAAGCTGTGACGGCAGCGCTGCAGGGAAGTAATTATAACGGCACCAGTGTTCACTTTGCTTTGCTCATCAGTCGCGTCGCACTTTTTTTTTCTTCTTCTTCTTTTTGCATGCAATACGAGCAACGTTGGAATTCTTTCACTGTCATAAGAAAGAGAGAAACAACTTTATTGATGGCATAGCAAGGTCGGTAAACTTAATTTGCCGCTGGTTCGAAGGGTGGTGGCCAAAAGCTTGCCATGACCGTTTCGGCCCAGTTAACCACTTTTGCCTGAAGACGGAAGTCGGCTGACGACAGGAGCGACTCCCACGCCTCGAGGGAGGAAGCTGGCAGTATTGTTCTTGGTGGGTGGTTACCCTCGCATTCCCAAAGGATGTGATTTTGGGTAGCTTTTACGCAGCTGCAATGTAGGCAGTTTGGCTTTCACTGCCATGAGAGCCGCTTTCGGGATGGCCTTCTGTGTAAACACTCGAAAGAGACGGTTCGCTTCCGCGGAGATAGAGAGAAAGGTAAAGAAAGAGAGGTTAACCATGCAGAGGAAGACTCTGGTTTGCTACCCTGTGCTTGGGAAAGAGAAAAAAAATGGATGTTAAAGGAGTGTAAAAGAATGAAAGAGAAGAAGAGAAGGAACTACTGCAATATGTGGGCGACTGAGGGCAGCAGCTTATTTCAAGTTTTAGTTTACTGGATGTGTTTGCAGGAGAGATCGCCATGATGTGTGGTGTGCACCATCGCTTCTATTTTAGACGAAGAACATTGTAGGTATGCGCACTGAAGTCTTACCCCCTTTTCACCAAAGAGGGGGGGGGGGGGGCGCAAAATCTCCCTGATATTTTGGCTTAATAGGAGAG